TTGTCCCCTGCGTGGGTCACTGTGGGTGATTACAGATGGATGCCAATGTGGAGATCAATCTGCCATCCCTGGAAAGAAAAAAGGAATTATGATGAGTATCTACAAGAAAGATTTTTTCCTCCTTCAGAAGCCTCAGATCAAGGCTGTACACGGTGCATCACTGCAGCGGAATATTTACATAGTAATTAAAGAGAGTGGATGTGTGCAGTCAGATGAGAATGGCGGAAGTTTGGGGGAGGAGTTAAAGACCTGTCAGTATTTTTTTTTTTTTAAGGACGCTTATAGCATGTCAGTGCAAGATTAGAGCTGTTGTTTCCTTGGTAATGAAAAACACAGATGTGTCTATCTGCATGTGGATCTCCATGATGTTTGGTGTGAAAATGAGACTTTTGAAAGAAGAAACAATAAAATGTTTCTCTATGCAAATGAAAAGGTCAATTCATAAGCAGGGTGCGAAGTAAAGGGGAGCCAGAGAAAGCTTGGCTCCTCTTAATAAGACATGAGCTGAGGGGTCTTTATAATAATATATATAATGTGGTATTTTTGCCACGTGTTACATAAAAAATAGGGTATTATTGATGTATGTTTGTAATATATGTGTGTCATTAACTGATTATTATGTATCAGATATGCTGACATAAAGCAAGTAGAAAAGTGAGCTCCCTAAAAAGGTCCCGATTAGGACTCCTTCAGTGTTCATCGTTTAGGAGTTCTTGTTTTTTTTATTTGTTTCACTGATAATTTAAGATCCAGACATTCCAGAGGTTTTTACCAGGAGACAAAATGATCTGCAAACCAGAGCAGGTGAATAAAACCAGCAGCAACACTGAAATGAACAGTTTCACATTAAAAATCTGACTGTTTGTCAGACAAATGACTTCCCGGAGGTCCTGCTGGCTGAGCTACTGCTGACGTCACCTCAACTTTTCTCTCTGATAACTTAAGATCTGGACGTCCAATGACTAAAATCATTCATAAATAAAATGTATTATTATAATTATAGGGTTAAACAACCAAGCTCTAAAGTGCATGTTAGTACACAGCTCAACAAAATATATAACATAGGTCTAGTTTTTGTAGACATTTGAATGTGGAAATTTTACATATTATAGCTCTAATCCCACATTGGCCACAAAAAACATATTTTAATGGTAGTGATATCTATCCATAGGGATAGTTTTGGTATGATTAGAGCCTGACTTCTGCCTAATTTGCATTATTAATGTGAATCTACGAATTAACTATTGTAGTTATGACATACAGTAAATGTAGTGGACAGTAGGAGAATACATAAATAAACCACTACCAATTAAGAAATATGTATTTTGTAATTTGGTGAACCAGCCCTTTAAACAGAAATCTGAGACTTGTCTGTCCTCTTTGCCTGTGGTATACTCATGCTGAATTTCCAGCCTTTCATCTACAGTCTTATCAGGTTTTCTTTCTGTCTGAGGCCAAAAAACAAGCATCTGGCTGAGAAAATAGAGCAACATCCATAAACTGATGCTTCATCTCCTGTCTTTATATGCGTCATCACTGGTGTTTTGTGTCCTTATCCTGTTTCCATTAAGTTTGTGTTCCTGTCATCTTGATCATTTTGATCTCCTTCACAATTTCTCCCATTTCTGTCTGCATCATTACATGTGGATGGAGATTTTAATGGATAAATATCTGATTCTTTCTTCAAAGGTTAATGTGTTTTTTTTGTTTGTTTTGTTTTTTGTTTTTGTGTGGTCACTATGTGTACGTCTGGGGGATATCGAGGAAGCCTCCATCAAAAAATTTATTCCCGCAATGAAATCGCCCCAGATTTGTGGCAGGGTGTTAAACGCGGCGTCCATCTAGGAAGAGCCTCCTAATAGCCCATTTCCCTGGAGAGCACATGAGGCCATTTACAACAACCAATCATACAGTCGCGGGAAGCGGCCTCAGTTCTCTTTGCCAATAATGAGATAATGCACAAAGGCAACAGCACATTCCTCTCCCCATGTTTATATTGTCAAGTAAAGCGATGATTTATGAGCAGGGGAACAAGATTAATAAAATGCACGGATTATGATGAATGAAGCCGCAGGTTAATGCATGGGATCATGCTATTTTTTCCCCCTCACCACCTTCAAACACTTATGATAAAATTGATAAAACATGCTGGATGAGGGCTGCAATGCATGCTGGTCCTGAACATGCACAAGTTTTAGGCATAAACAAAACGCTGTCAACCTTGTGTAAAAAGCGTGGGAGGGTTGATAACTGTTGTTAAGTGCTTGCATGGTAATGGCCTCAAGCTCCTGGAGGCAGCCACGGTGTGACTCCTCTCACCCACCTTCAGGTAAGCTTTTAATGACTCTAACACGATGAGTTTTCTTATTTCCACCTGAGCTCAAACACACAAAACGAAAGAAGGTGAGGGTGACCTGCGAAATATCAAGGTTGAAGTGGTTGATGTGTCTCTTAATGAATGTGTGTCTTGTTAGAGGTGACTCTTCATCTTGGGATTTTCTTTCTTTGTGATTAATTGTACTGTAGGCTGTAATCTTTGGTTCGATCGTCCTGCACTAAAATGGAGACAGTTAAAGAATGAATTGTAAAACCTGCTGAGTAAAAATGTTTTACTCTCATTTTAAGCGATGAAAGAAATATTCAGATCCTTAAGCCATGTATAATACTACAATCGGAAATCAGTATTACAATTCTTGCTTTTAAAAATAGTTTGACATTCTGGGAAATACCCTTTCTGGAGGAGAATTGGATAATTAGATTGAAACCTTTTTCACATTTGTTTATTAAATAAGGCCACAGCTAGAAGCCACTACATTAGCATGAATACTGGAAATGGGCAAACACAGGTAACAACATTTCCCCACAGGCACGCCTAACACTCACTAATGCTAATCAACAAAACATTGCACAAAAAGTGTAAAAACGCCAGTTTGGTGTTTTGTGGTGGGTTATGTGGGGGACTATTTCTTTGCTGGGAGCAGTTGCAAGGCAACCAGCGGAGATGTTACAGGATGTTACAGCCAAGAAAAAGTCTGGTGAATTGAAATAGATAATGTGTTAATTAGTGCGCTTTAGGGGTGCTACATGGATTTTGTTACCTTTGAAACATCCAGATGAGCTGTTTCCCTGTTTTTGGTCTTTAAGCTAAGCTATGCTAACTGACTGCTGACTGAAGCCTTATATTTTAAGTACAGGTATGAGAGTAGTACTGATTTTGCATATGTCTGCTTCACATTTGACTTTGAAGTATTACCAGAAAAATGTTCTTAATTATAATCGCAATGCCCCTTTTATGAGTGTTATTATACATATGTTGATTAATTAATTACAGAAGGACAAATATTACAGATGCTTCCTCCTCCATGAGGTTGAAAACCATCTTCTATATTGTTGGTTAATTTATTCTATAACAACTTATAACAACTTATAATATATTAAGGTCTTTCAAATGTAAAAAATTCTTAATTCTTAAAATTCTTTTTTATTTAACAAGTAGTGGTTAAGTAAAAGTTGTGGATTGACAATTTCATAAAAAATCTTAAGAAAGGGAACAAAATTGAATTATTATGAAAAACTACACCTCAAATGAAGCATGAAACAAAAAATAATATAAAGCAAATACTGAACTGAGTTTTCTGTTAGTTGATTATGATAACAATTTCAAAGTAATTAGTGTTCCATTATGTGCTAATGAGCAGCTATCACAGACAATCATGTCTCCATTACTACAACACCGACTCAGAAGGACCACAGTAATTTTCAAGTGCGTGAAAACCTTGGCTGTGGCCTTTAAGATTCCAGTGTAAGTCACTCATCATTAGCTGACAGTATGGCGGCGAGCCAGAGTTCAGGCTCCATTCCTCCATACTGATCAGGAGTGGGAGGCCTCATCCTCATTTATCCAAGGAACGCTCTGCCCACCGTGAGACACTTACAAACATCAGAACCTGGAGGGTTTGCAGGAGCAGATGGAGATTAAATGTCGTGCCCAAAGAGAAGCACCAGTTGTTAATGTAGAGGAGAGTGCCTTTGTTCACTTTCCCCAGAACAGATGTTTCCACCCAGAGAGAATTCTCATAAGAGGGAATTAGGATTCGCACCAACAAAACCCACTTCCTCAACCTTTAACCTCCAGGATACAATTCAGAGAGGTGGAATACATCAAAACTCTGAAGTTCTCCATCTGCTGTTTGGGGAGCATTTACAAACAAGGTTTAATTTTCATAAGTAACAGCCTCCAAAGAAGGCAATGTTTTATATTTTATTAGAGTAATAACTTACATTTGGGGTGCACTCACTGTGATCAAGGCTGGAGGACAGGCGTGTGTGGGCATATAGAAGATATACACACATACATACCCTATGAGGAAGGGAGACTTAAAGAAAGAGAGAGAGGGAGATATTTAAACACATCCAGAAGAGGTCATCTGCAAGACTCAGCCATTGCACTGCCCACACACTCCCACATGCTCAACATCATTAAAAACAAAAAGGCACGACTGAAACAATGCTGCAATCTGTGATGCAACCCACAACAAGTGAGACAGATCTGCTGGAGTAAGCATTCACCGTAACAATCTTAATAAGCACATCAAGGAAGGGGCGGGAGAACACTTTAATTTCTTGCGATTCTGTGACACCACTGAAGGATATTTTCTTTTCTTAATTGCAGCTTTTTTGAATTATGATCTTCTACGCTCTTTATTTTTTAAAACATCATTTAAAAATTCGGTTTGACAATACTTTGAATAATGCCCATTTTCATTGAGATTATGTGCCTCACAGTTCTTTAAAAAAATCAATACAATCAGAATATATTAGCATCAAGATTCGCAACACAGTTTTGGCTGGGATTTACCGAGTAAATTGGTTCTTAAATGTGCTGCACTGTCTGTTCAGTTCATTGCTTAGAAAATTTATTGAGTATCTTACGCCACCCAGTGGGCTGGACAACATCCAAGCAATGAAGAGATCAAGGAGAGATCACAAGGGAGCAGTGCTAGACAAAAGAATGAATCATGAAGTTTTATTTTACCCTTTGATACAGTAAAATATATGTAAATGATTTATAATTTGACATAACATTTTAGTGGAATGTAGAAAGTAAATGCAAAAGATCCACTTTTTTTTTTCTTTTCATCACAAATTTTGAATCTTGTGAAGTCCGAGCTCACTGCCAGTTAAAGAGACCACTTGCCGATGTTTAAGAGCTTCAGGCCCTGCACATGTCACCTCCTCCAAAAAGAAAACATTTTGAGGATGGACAGTGAGCCACTTCCACAGATACTCCATCCTCTCATCACACACCCAGGGGTTTCCTGTTAAGATCATCTGGAAAGAGGATTTTCTGTTCTCCAGCAGCCCTGAGGGTAAATTCTGCAGCTGATTCAGATTTAGCAGCAGAAGCTCAAGATGTTGGAGACCCTGGAGGAGGGTCGCTGGTAGATCTTGGAGCTGATTTTCCTGAAAAAACAGCTGGGATAGTTTCAGGTTGTGGGTGAACATTGTAGGATTCAGGGAGCTTAATTTGTTACCAGCGAGATTCAGTGACTCGAGGCGGTGCAGGTTCTTTAGGGCGTCAGGTTGTAGTTCCTGCAGATTGTTGTCACTCAAGTCTAGACTCTCTAGGTTGGGCAGCTTGTGAAGCAAAGCAGCGGGTACACCAGTTAAACGGTTTCCGGACAAGTCCAGCCAAGTCAGGCTACTGTTGTCTGGAAACCACTCAGCATCTGCTTTTTCAATCAGATTATTCTTCAGCACAAGACCATGAAGTGAAGCACAGCTGAAGACATTCGGAGGAAGATGAACCAGCTGATTACCCGTCAGATCCAATGTGTCCAAATGAGGAACGTCCCTCAGTAGATCTGAAGGAAGGCTTGACAGGTTGTTGTGGTACAGCTGGAGGTTGTTTAAAAGGGGCACAACACTCAAATGACTGGCTGTAATACTGCTGAGGATGGTGGATTGGATGGACAGTCGAGTAGTGTTGGAGGGTAAACCATTTAAAGGGAAATGTGTAAGGGAGCTTTGGCTGCACACCACCTCTGCGCCTGAAGGTGGAAAGGAACAGGAGCAGTGATCTGGGCACGAGTGGGCGCCTCTTTTTTGGTGAAGGCATTCAGCCAGTGCAGTGAAAGTCAGGAGTATCCACAAGTTCATCTTTTAAGCACTGTACAAATGAAACATATAAAGAGACAGATTCATACTGAATATAAAGAAAATGTAATAATGTAACTACAATGTGAACATCGGATCATAAATGTATAATCCTACCTGAAAGGCACAGCAGAATTCCCTCTGTGATTCATCGAGGACCTGGTTTGTTCTCAGCAATCATCCGTCAGGACAAAATGTTGCAAGAGGCAAACAAAACCAAGCAAACAAACCAGCTTTCTTCTGTACTTTATAAAAGTACAGATGTTGCATCACACAAATCAATATTTTTTTACATTCCTGCAGGAAGTTTTTCTATGTAATGGTGTAATATATTATTATAAAAATGTTATTTTCAGCAGTTGAATGAATGATATATATGATTTAATAATTTGATTCAGAAATATTTGTGGTGTTTGGATTGCTCCTTTTGAAGACTGTTAGGAAAGAATAATTCATAATTTATAGAAATATGCTTATTTGCTTGTTTTGCTGAGAGTTATACACTCTCATGTCTGTCGATTCAGTATGGAACTATAGCCAGCAGCTGATTCGTTAAGCTTAGCATAAAGACTGGAAACACAATGGTATTGATCTTTGCATCTAAATCTCAACAAAGATAACAGCAAACCGTGATCCCAAAAATGTCAAAAACTAGTCTTTTCAACACATTTTATCTGCATATAAAGTACAAGGAAAGACTCTTAAATGCTCTCTTTAATCATATCATATTTAATTATATATTTGCATTACACAAAAGAGAATGCTGATTGAAAAGTAAGACAGCTCTGACAGGCTGAACTGGGTATATTACCATATCAAATAATAACCCGTATTTGATATGTTAAGACTGAGACCTTAGTTCACTTTCGGTCAGTGACATCACTGAGCGCTGTGCCAGGGACTGCGGTCTTGCACATACGATGTTCTCTGGCAGGAAGACCTTCTTCTTGTTCTTCTGAAGCCACCTCCAGAGGTACTCCATGGACCCATCACACCGCCAGGGGTTGTCAGTCAGGTCAAGACCCTCATCATCCAGTGAGTTCAGAGGGTCCAGCAAACCGTCAGGGATGTGGCTCAGCTGGTTGTCATCAAGACTCAGGACCCTGAGCTGAGTGAGCTCCCGAAAAAGGTTTTTGGGGAGTTCGTTGATCTTATTTCGAGTGACGAACAAATAGGTGAGGTTATGGGTGTTCTGAAATAGAGCTGCATCCAGGGTGATTAGCTTGTTGTGTTTCAGGTTTAGCCTCTCAAGTTTGGTCATAAAGTCCAGAGGATTTCCAGAAAGCTTCTCCAGATGGTTTTTGGAAAGGTCCAGATTCTCCAGGTGGGGCAGCTTCTGGAGCAGAGCAGCTGGGATCTTCGTTAACTGGTTCCCAGATAGATCCAACCAGGTGAGGCTGCTGTCATTGGGAAGCCACTCAGCATCAGCTGTTTCAATCTGATTATTCTTCAGCACCAAGCTGAGGAGCGGGGCGTGGCTGAAGACATTCGCAGGCAGAGCAGACAGTTTGTTTCCTGTGAGATCCAAAGTGTTGAGGTGAGGAACGCCTCTGAGAAGATCAGAAGAAAGGCTTTGCAGGTGGTTGCTGTACAGGTGGAGTCCTTGCAGCAGGGGCGTGGCGTTTAGATGCTGCCCGGAGATGGAAGTGATGTTTGTGAACTGGATGGTCAGCATGGTGGTGTTCTTCGAGAGACCCTCAGAGGGGTACTCTGTCAGGGGAACCTCATTACAGACCACCTCAGCTCTTCTGTTGTAGCATTTGCAAAGTGCTGGGCAGGACAGAGTGCCCTGGTAGAAATAAGCCATCCATAGGAAAGCAAGAGCAGACCAGGACTTCATTACTAGGACACAAGAAGGGGGAGGACACTGAATTAGAAATGACGATATACATCAGAAAACTTCAACCATTCGCCCCCAAAAACATCTGATAAAACCACAAATCATTTCCAGTTCATGCACATCATATTCATTAACATGAGTAACACAATAAACTTACTGTTGTTTTATAGTTGAATGAGTATCAGCCAGACTGCTCCTTATATTAGATTCAGCAGTGTTCACTAGCAAATTACTGAGTCATTTGGGGAGCAGAATCCCCCAATCTAATCATTACCTATTGAGTAAACAAGGACCCGTCACAGCACCATCATTCGTCAAAGATAGGCAGTTGCAACAGACCGTATGACTCTAACCTGCGGGGAAAGTACAAGACCTGGAAACTTGTTTATGTTGGTTTATTGACTTACAGGTCTGTTACTAATGGCTGATTCTGAAATTCGATGTTGTAGTCTATGTGTTAATGTGATCATATGAAGTTTAAGATTGTCTGATGGTTTGCCACTTATGAAAAATTCCAAAGTTAGATGTTTACAATACTCTGCACATTGAATTTTTTAGATATGAGGAAGGAGGAGGAGAGACAGATGGAGAGAGCATGTGAGCGTGTGTGTGTGTGAGAGACAGACAGACAGACAGACAGACAGACAGACAGACAGACAGAGGTAAAATGCATGATTAGTAATTTAAAATTGGGTGGATTTGATTAATTTTGCTGGAAATTAAATTAATCTTCAGAGTAGTTGCATAGTTTTTAGTCATACAGCAGCAAGCTTATCATTAAAAAACTTTAATAAAGGCCTCAACTTATACCTTTATTTTTTTTGTTAATTAATTTACTTACCAACATATTTGAAGAGTAAAAGGAATGTGTATCCATTTCTTAAATTGTTTCTATTGTATGTAACCAAAGCAAAAATACATTTATGCCACAAGCAGTAGTGGATAAAATAGACCAATCCTTTGATTATGTAAAAGTAGATATACAATAACATAAAAACACTCCATTACAGCAGTCCTGTAAATAAGTTTTACAAGTACTCAAAATATTATATTATTATATATTAAATATATTATATTAAAGTATTCTTTACGCAAAGCAAACTGGGTTGGGGAGTTGGAGCCAATTTGAACTATATTATACTTTTGGGTGTAAAAATATCTAAAAAACAAATCTTGTTGTGGTTTATAAACTGCTCATATATTTTGTATGTAAAATCTTACTCAGCAAAGTAACTAGAGATTACATTTGCCTAATAAATAAAGCAGAGTTTCTCTCTGAAATGAAGTGGAGTGGATGTACACAGTGGCATAAAATGGAAGTTCATGTACAATTAACTATAGTCCTTAAGCAAATTAAGTGATTTACATTACAGCTCTAATGGAGCAAAACAGATCAGATAATGGAGCAGATAAGCAAATGCCACTTTGTCCACAGCTAAAGAAATAAAGAAAAATAACCCTCTTACCGGCCAGTTAGCAAACCAGCCTGACAAAGGACACAGAGGAGCAAAGATAGCAGAATAACAGTGAATACAGAGCAAAGCAATATAATAGTCATTAGTGCAGACTGTTAAATTGTTTAACCTATTTAACCATGTGCTGGATAAAATATTTATTAGTAGGCTACATCATGTATGATCACTACAATATCCTGAGGTTACAGATAAATTCTTATTATATTATCTTGAGTTAACATAACAATGAAACAGTGGTGGAGGAAGTGTTCAGTTCCTTTACCTCAGTAAAAGTAGCAACAGTGCAGTATAAAATACTCCATTACAAATAAAAGTAGTATTATTAACAATTTTTATTCAAAACAATGCATCATGTTTTATAACCTAAGTAAAGCTCTCAGATGTGTACTTATATACAGTATTTGATAGAATGTACTTACCAGCACTGAAACAAAGACAACCCTTTTTAGAAATGTAAATTAAAAGACTAGGGATAACAGAATGAGTGTTTATTCTCGATGAGGAGGAGAAACAGCAGGAGAAGGCTGCGTGCCACCTGAGGTCGGTGCAGCAGGCAGGTACAGCAGGTTTCATGGTTATTTAACCAGAACATACAGTCACACAGCTGATAGCGAGAATGGATTAGACCTGCGGTATGAAATACGATTTTAGCAGATGGGCAACATGATGAACCATTACATTATGTATGATGAGTGCCAGTTGGCTTTAGGCTGTTCTGAAAGATTTATTTCAGTCAAGCCCACTCACTCCACATGCACTTGCAAGATAGAGACGGACCTATTCTGGTGTAGATCAAAGTGTCCTAAAATACACTGTAGTCAGATGTAACACCTCTAAAGGATAACTACAGTGTTCCACGTCTGTTCCATGCAACACATCTGTGGTTTAAAGTCAGCGATATGCAGCAAAGGACTGTACATTATGCTCATTGTGTTTTTTGGTATTGTTTATCTTTTGACATTGTTAGTGATGCTAGCACAGACTAGACAGCAGGGCTCTCAAACTGCCAGCCTGGAGTGTCCGTCCATCCCCCTCCCTTAGGTCCACAACATGATATCAAAAATATAATGTAATTCTAGTTGTTTCATATCAATTTAAGCTACCCCTTCAATACAATTTAAATAAAACACAATTCTAGTTTTAAAAATGTTTCATTTGGCACAAAAAAAAAAACAATAGCAAAGGTCAAAGATAACCACAAATGTGTTGATGAGAAGAGAGCAGGTTTCGGACCTTCATTTGTTGTTTGGCCACGGACAATAATTATATAAACTAATGATATAAAACTGCAGAGAAACAGCTGTTTACCTTTTTAAGTATGATATTAGTAACGTAAATATTTTCATGTAATCTATACTGCACTTCCTTGTACTTTCTTGTAGTACTTTAACATTAAAGTGGCCCTCCTATGAGATGATAATACTAGCAGTGGCCCCAAGCCCATTCAAACACTGAGTTCATTATTTGTGCTCAATTGTAAACTTGATCTCACTGATCAGGTACAGTGCAACCCGGGAAGATTTGGGTGGAGAAATCATATTCAAACACCAGTTATCCTCTATTCTTCCCTTTCAAAAACCCAGAAAAACTCAAAATTGATTCTATTTCTACAGTATATATTCATTCACCACCTATCTGCTGCTTTTGATGCAATATCCATGTTATACTGGAAGGGGAATTTTTTGTGTGAGATCCAGAATGAAAGCTTTCAAATGAGGCCTCAAGGCAAAAAATTAATCATTAGGGCCACAAGTCTGAATGCTGTATGTCATGCTTTTTTAAGCCTGCTTTCACACCAAATCCTTAACGGCAATATATTGAGACAAATCCTGAATTATTCATTTTCCAGAGTAACATAATTTATTTGAACTAGTCATGAATGGTAAGAAGAAAACACATCGTGTCTGTTCAATTCACAATATTCTGACTTATATTGTAATGGATCAAATCAAGACTCATAATCATTCAGTAAAACTGTATTAATTTACAGGACAAGCATATACTATATTGGGCTGGTGATATCCATAAAAATAAACAGTCATATACTATGAGCTACACTTTGTGTTACAATACAAAGACAGACCTCTTAAACCTATATACAAATGTTCACACACATGCCTAACACCTCACAAACACAAATCCATGTGAGTCACTCCATCTGACAGAATAAAATGTCCATGTTTTTGTCATGATGATTATAAAATAAGGCAGCTTTAATCACCCAGTGTTGAGCTGAGGTTTTCGGATGAAATCTCACTCTAATATGAATACTGCTCATTTTCCTCTTGTTAAAATGACAAAGACAGTCCCAGTTCTCATGACGACAGCCAGTTTCTGTGATTTTGTGTCCATGATTAGCATTTTTTTTTTTTTTTTATTCTACTTCCCAGAAAAAAATAACACATGTAGGCACTGCGTCCAGACTGCGGTCATTAATCCACAAAGATGAAAATACACATCTTTGATCAGCCAGGGTTAACTGTGAAGAAAGAGAGAGAGAGAAAGAAAATGATGTGAAAACCTGGGATGCTACCAACAGAATGGCTGGACTTCAAAAGGCACACCCACACAAAATCCACACATATTACACAAGGAACCTATCCACACAATACATGAGTGAAATGCATAAAAAGCAGTCAGATATGGGAATTATCTTGGTCTGCATGTTTGTAAGTAATAAAATACTGAAGCACATTGTGGGAAATACTCTTATTTGCTCTCTTGCTGAGAGTTTGATAAGAACGGTACGGTAAATATGAATAAATATAAAGCTACAGCCTGTAGATGGTTAGCACTTGTAACAGGGGGAAACAGCCAACCTGGCTCTGATAAAACAAAACCTTCACAGAGTAACTTCTGGTTTTACGTGGGATAATGTGTCAGACTATTTTCTTGACAGGATACTTTTTTTTAACACTTTGTTTGAGTGAGCTGCAGAGGTGATCTTTTTGTTACCTTTGTATGGAGCCAGGTTAACTGTTCCCAGTGTTTATGCTAAGCTAACAGGCTGATGGCTGTAGCTTCATATGTAATGGACCAGTACGAGATTGGTATCGATCTCCTCGTGGCAAGAAAGTGAATAAACGTATTTCCCAAAATCACAAACTACTGCTTTAATATTTTACATGAAACACAGAGACTAAGATTATTCTCAAATATTTCTGCTTTTTGTGCAATAAGTATGTGCAGCAAGCATATTTCCCAAACTGTCAAACTAATATTGTAACATCAGTGAGGTTCAAACACAGAGTTTATGTTTTCCACTCGAATGTAAATTTAGATGTCACACAAAACCATGCTTCTGGCCACAAAAGAGCCTTCTACTAACTGTAACACACATGCAGAGGTCCAGTTACCCTCTGTGCCCCCTCTTTTCTTTCACTTCCTTCAGAAGAACATATCATCATCATCATCATTATCGACATCATCCAATGGCCAACTCCAGTCTTTCAGGCCAAACTCAAGCATTCTGAAACAGTACGTATGAGGTTCACCGAGGGGTCAAAGCCTTTAGAGTGTCATAAACTGCTGGGGCAATACATGCCAAGTTCACCTGGGGGCAGTACAGAGCTGTGAGTAGTTAATTGAGCTCCTGAATGCTGCTTGCTAGGATGAGGGGACGGTTAATGGACACAGCAGCACAGCATCAAGGCGGGTGGACAGACGCAACAAGCTCTGCTACTTACAGTCTCCCAGCATGAGAGACGTTAGAATGGTGGGGTCAGAAGTGAAGAGGTCAGAGGTCAGTGGAGGATGATACGGAGCATGGGGCCAGGGCTGAGGGATGAGAGCCAGTTAGGTTGTGGCTGAGAGAGCAAACTTTGAAAGCTGAGTGTCTTAATCAATCACAGAAAACAGGACAGATACAGTTAGTGACTCCCATAATGGTTTGGTGCCATTTCCTGCTCAATTAGGTGGCTACTGACGCTGCATTAATGCTGCATACAGCGTTAATGCACATGCAAATGATTCAGGAAGTCTGTTTAACGTGAAACATCCTGTGCCAGCCACAGCTTTATGCCCCTTTCACGACTGAGGATCATCAATAATTAAAGAGTCTTGTTGTTTCGATAGGGTTTTTTTTAAAAAATACATAGATTTTTTGTAAGATTAGCTCAGATTTGAAGATTTGAAGACCTGAAACTTATGTTTCATACTGCAAAAAGGGACACCGATCACTGCGGTTTACAGTAAATGAAGTTCTCTTGTGACACTGACAGCTCAGAAAAGGCAATATGATAAGAAAAGAAGAGAACATTTGGGAGAAAACACAAAGTCTCGAAGTAAACAGTTTTAAAATAACCATCTGTGGTGTGAATGGTATTTTAAAATAACATTTTAACCCAAACAAATTGAAATTCCCCCCAAAACAATTCTTGATATTGCTGTTGCCTTTTTTTTTCACCAACATACCGGATATAATATTCAGATGACAATAAACTATTTTTGTTTTCAATAACTGAAAGTAACATACATATTAGCCGTAGTGAGTTTGACTTTGAGAACAAGATGGACAGAAGATATCGTGTAAACAGATACTGCAGTCATGTTAAAAAATACCACAGAAACAAACTTTAATATGGGTGGAAAGTGTCCCCGTCCTCACCTCGGCTTCCCTGATGACTGCTGCTGTCGGCTGGGCTGGATCTTGATTGCTCCGCGATGGGCCGACATACGAGGCGAACCCCTGGGAGAAGGTCGCGGAGAGACTCGTGGAGAGGAACGTGACGTTGCTTCAGGAGGGGTGTTCTGTGCCGCAGAGGGAGGACTCATTGTTGGGTGTTTCCTCGGGATGCGTTTGAGGAGGTGACTGACCCAGCGCTGCTGCTCCTCCTGAGAGTTGGTCAGCAGAAGCAGCTCTTTAGCAGTGGACATGTCATAGTTCACTGTTGAAGAAAGAGATTTGAAATAGATTAGAAACAGATAAGAAAGGATACTTTCTTTTTAATAGAAGCTGTTTGCTGGCTGGAAGTAATCTTCCAACATAGCAGCCAAACCATCATCAAAGTCATCATCGACTGAGTGACCAAAAAAATAGGAAGACGTGTGCGATGATGTGATGCCATAAAAATGCCCACTGATACTGTATTTCCAATTTGTGAGTAAGGTGTAGCCTCCCTGCTGTTTCAATGCTGGATTCACTTAAACAGTAAGTCACTGCAGCTGATCAATCAGAACCACACAGGTGACTTGAATTTCAAAGTCTATATTTCCAAAACGACCACATTCCTTCTGTACAACTATCTGCACTAGACGCACTTCCCAAAAGATGACAGTTGGACTGGGAACAGAGAATTAACACCCATAATGTCCAGGGGAATCTTGCAGATGTGTGGCCGATTGCTTCTAAAAGACGAAATCTGGAGGTAATCCTGATCGCCTCGAAGTCCGTGTGAAGTGAGTTCAGTTACAGAGGAATATAACAGGGCAGAACTGACGCTAAAGCAGACACTTTTCATACTTTTTCACTTTTTTTTGCTGAGACTACTGTATTTCTTTGTATATTGTGGTAGTGTTGTACCTGGCTACCGTATCTAAACATCTCTCTGACACAGTGTCAAATACAACTATCAATGGTGCTAACTAGACGTGTACACACACATACTCCATCTTAATGATGGCCAAACACCCGATGAGTAAAGTTCTATATTAACTCTCGACTGAGCATACTGACCCTTGCAGGGCACAATAACTTCCTCCTTTCTGTCCAGGTGGTCTTTGTGGCACTTGGTGTGGCAGCGGCGGCACTCGAGGGCTGGCGGGGGCTTGAAAACATGCCACAGGGGCCGAGTGCAGGCCTCGCAGCTGGATGGGAAGTGGTAGAGAGTGATGATGAACTCGTGGCCCTTGTGGCTGATGTAGGAGGGACGATCACCATGCGGCGTGGGCTCCACTACAACCTCCTGTTCGCGTTTAATTTCGCCTTCATTGGCATACAGGACCTGGGAAAAGAAAACGAAGGAAATGGAAAGATTTATTGAGGCAGGCAGTTAAATTGAGAAAACCTGGCTGCTGACTGAGAAGGTTCACGTCCATTACCTGGAATATCCTTGGAATTTCTTTGGGATCAGCACGGTACACGTCAGTATGAGTGACAGGTCGGACATGAAACAGCTTACTGTAGGAGGAAGACATGGAAGAGTTCAGTGTAGATCCAAGGTAACACAGTGGGTGTACTGCTCTGGTTAAAGAGAGATTTAACCTGTTGTATCTAAACTTGAACAACCTGAAAGACATTGGCTCAAAATGTCTGTGATTGGGCAGCTTTGGGTCAAAAAGATGCTTAGTTGAGTTAGTTTCCTCTTTTAAAGAACTGTTCTAATCATATAGTTTATCCTGACTTTAGTTTTAGTTAAAGTCTGTTGTTTGTTCTGTACATTTGATCTAATTTTTACTCTCTCTTATTTAAGCGTTTAGCCACATGAGCATGACTGTAGTCTCAACTGATCCTTCAGGATGAATTATAATAACTTTGGTGATCCCTTAACTTTTCATCCATGCAAAGATTTTTACCATTATTAATATTTTTTGGTATTACATGTTTGCATAAATGACTCACTCTATGTTATTTTTATTTGTCTTTGTATTTAGATAATTCTGTTTGTCATTTTATTTTGAAATCACCTATGTGCCTATTGCTTCTCCTATTTCCTAACAACTCCAATGCCACATGGAAGTGAGCAATGAATGTACAAATATAGTGTATGTGAAACATATCTGCTCAATAAAAAAATAAAGTTTGATATATGACTCACTCGATGTCCAGAGTCATGAAAGGGTTGGCTTGCTCTCGGTCCAGCTCACTGTTGTAGAACAGGATCTTCTTACTGCTCACAACTACATACTGTAAAGGAAAGGGAAACAATTGCAGAAAGGTTACATGGGGAAATGACTCAACGGTGATTACTAAGAAAACAAATCTGTAGATGAGATGAGAAATAACGCTGGATACATTACTTTTTTGTCCCAGCCGAAACGCTTTGTGTTCTTAGTGGGAAGTGAAATCCAGCCCGCCAACCTGGAGTCTAGTTTGCAGAGAAAAAATAGGAAGACGTTAACACAAAGACAGCCTTTAATCATGTGAACCACTTAAAAGAACACCTTGTCATTTTGAAACTTTGGTGGCATTTTCCTTAAACATCACTTGGAGAGCAAATGATTCCTCACTTAAACCATAAAAAGGGTAAGTGGAAGGTAGTCTTGCTACTTGGTTTCAACAACAGACTACTCAGTGGAAACTATAAGGAATGGATTACAATGAATTGTTAAAAAATAATTATTTAAATAGGAAGCGTTTTATTTTTAGCTCAGTAAAAGTTCGACACACAAACTTCGCTCATGGAAAAATGTTTCCCCACCATCTTTTGCAGTGAAATAAATGTGAAAAAAGCAGGGCAACATCAAGCTGTGAGTATGCATGTGTCCAGTGAACAATAAAAAGGATTAAAGCACAGCAGAAACAGAGCGGGGATTAGCTGACACTTGGCAAGGTTAAACCAGGGTTGAGGATATTTCTTTCTCAATTCCATTATTTTGGAAAAAGTATTTACCTGAAATTTTAAAATACTGAAAATATTTTAATGGATAAATGATAAACCATTGTTATGTCAACTGCAGTTTTAATCCCCATCCCAGGTTTGAACCACCATGCAGGGTCACCTTCGGGTTCAGCCTCAGGGGGCTGTTCGTAGGTGAGGGCCAGGGGACGGTTGCCCTGCTCCACCCGCCCATCATATTCTTCGTCATCCTCAGAGTCAGAGTCAGAGTCAAAGAGAGTGCGAGCCGAGTGAAGATTGGGTCGGGTGTCGATGCAGACAGATTTGTGTGTGCGCTGGTACGTGAAGGACATTGATTCTGAGGTGTGGGAGTGAGTAATGCGCACTGCACCAGGCCCCAAAGAGAGGAGTTGAGGTGAAATGAGGGGGGAAAAGGAAGAAGCATAAGGAGGAAAAAGGTCAAAAACAATTGGCCTGGAAGACAAAGAGACTCAAAGTGAAAACAAAGGAAACCCCAGGAAGAGAGACTACAGAAACAGGAACGCAGGAAGTACATGCAAAAATGTATTTGCTTACTGCATCTGAATGTACATGTTGGTGCCATGTTATGAGTGTGAGAGGAAGTCTCCTTTGTCTACCTGGGTATCCGTCAACCACGTCCAGGTCGTTGCCACTGCTGATACTGGTGGAGTCCAGAGAGTGGACACTCAGGGAGGTGATCTGGCAACGAAGCTGCTCAATGTCACTGTCTTTACTGTCCAAAGCCATCTGAAGCTCCAGACGCACCTGGTTCTCTTCTGCTATCAGCTGATAAACAGACACGAACAGGGTTTTAATTGCAGTTCAATTGTTCGTCTGTAATCTGTAAATTCTGTATACAACATTGTGGGATTGAGGTGGCATGGAGAATTCCTATTGGTCGACAGCAGAGGCCAGAAAATAAATGGGCATCCTTAAATAAATTTAAATAATAATAATAATAATTTATTGGAACAATGTTTTAATTTGAACTATTTAAACTGCCTTGGCAATATTCTGTACATGTGTTGTTCTAACGATAAAGGATGCACATTTATTTCCTGCTGTTGACCAATACGAATTCTCCTTCTACACATCTGGAGCGGGTTTAAATGTGATCTTTAGGCAGGACTATAAATTAACAAGTTCATTAATTCCAAGTAGATATTCAATATAATTCAAAGTCCATTTGTAACGTACAGTATTTCCAGCTAGATCTTGCTGTTATAATCAGTACACACAGTATTAATGTTACACTGTTTGTTGGTATGCTGGTGTGTGTGTAGTGTGGGCATACTGACCGCCTGCATCTCCGTCATCTCTCTCTGGTATTTGATGATGGTGCTATTGAGTTTCTCCTTCTCCGTTCTCAGCTCCAGCTGCAGCTTCCTGTTCTCCTTCTCCTTCCTGTGCACCTCAGTGTCGATGCCTCTGTGGCCTCCTCGTATCGTCTCTCTCCTGTTCATCACCTCGGCCAGCTTGTTGATAGCCTGCGAACAATACACAGCTTAACAGAGATCCATTTGTGATAAATCTGACTTCAGTAAATACGAAGGGAAGCCTGCAGGACTATCAACGCCAGTAGACGCTGATAACTTGTTTTAGATCTTAGTGATTTTGACCAGAGTTCAACACAAGCCTGCAGCAGAAAATTATTCTTAACAACAAATGATGTGACATAACATTCGCATGCGAAAAAAAAAGAAGGGAAAAGTATGAAAGTATAGAAAATATTCCAGGTTTCCAGACCTGTGTAGGCGCCCAGAGACACACACCTGAATTTTTAGTGTCCTTTCATTTTGCAGCTGCCTTTCAAAGCTCAGTTTTACTGAGTTCATCTGCTTCTCCTCCTCCTTGGCTTTCTGTAGCTCTGTATAAATAGCAGAGAAGAATATTAATTCAGGGCTCATATAGATTTTTACTTAACATAAGTTTTACAGAAGTAATCCATGACTTATAGCGCAAGTTTGAAGACCAATATCCTGCCGCTCTACAATACACTTGTTCCCTGATGGCTGCTTTTCATGACATTTCATTTTCACACCCTATAAATCATCTGGATATGTAAGACAGCTTTTTAACACATATTCCAGGACTGAGGCAAATGTCATTCCTGTAGAGTTGCTTATTAATTTAAAATTACACTCACGTTGCTGCATTTCTTTTAGCTGGTTGTTGAGCTCCTCCTTCTCACTGGCCAGGTTGGCCACATCCACTGTCAGAGTGCGATTGGACTCCTCCAGCTGTGTGAGGGTAGTGGTTAGTTTCATCCATACAAACAAGCAAGCAAACTTCATTTTCATAGCACATTTGAAATGCAAATTATGGCAGGGGTTGTTAATTAAGTAGGGCTATGAAGCAATGTTTGCATCTTTCTATTTTCCTGCCGGCATTATCAGGCAATTCCACTTATCAACAGTTGGTGGCGCTACAGTGCCAAGAAAGGCAAGAAAGAAGAGCGCAAGCTTGCAAGCATGGATGTAAAACATATCCAGGTTTCTAAAGCTTAAAAATTTAAGTTTGTTTACAAGAAAATTCAACAGGGTTCCTTTAAGTAGCTGACAGGATAGAAAATGTTGTCAAACCTGTAACAAGGATGACAAAAGTTGAAGTTACAGTACTGTAAACTGCAATTAAAAACTAAATTCCATATTAAACAAAAAAGACGTCCTATATTTGGGGATTTTCAGCTTTTACCTCGTTATATTTATTTACCATTATGAATGCAATTTATTTTATTTAACATCCATACAGGCAAAAAAGTACTAAGGATATGAAGAAAAATCTGTTCCATGTCGATTAGACAGAAATATTATTTAGATTTAAGACATTTTAAAATTCTGATTATTGGATTGTACTTTTTAATAACCCATGCACAACCTGTATATTGAAATTTTAACCACATATACTTCCTAGATTTAATCAACCAAAAAGGGTCTCACCGAGCTGATGGTAGCCTCCTTGTCGCTTAGCTCCTGCCTGTGTCTCGCCATCATGTCTTTGATCTCCAGCTCCTTCATGATCTTCTCCTTCTCCAGGTCGGAGTACTGCTCCTCAGCGATGGAGCGAGCCAGCTGTTCAGAATCCGCCTTTGTCAAACTGACCTCCAGCTGGGATGTAAGGGAATCTCTGTGGAGGGAAGAAGGGAAGCAACTGTTATTAGCGTATTACTGATATGCTAAAACTAGATAAATCTTTGAACTACAAAAATCCCTGCTGTTATTATGCCAGTCAGAAATAGACTGCCTCGTGTGGACATACGTTAATATTTGAATGACCTTTTTGTCAATGCAGGATTTTAAAGCAGGGGAGTTACACTGGATCATAGTTTGTCCACAGTAATCTTGGGCTGTAATGCATCTGGGAATGCTGCTGGTCTGGTTAAACTTCATTCCTTCAGTTAAAGGTCAAGTCCTCCTTTTTGGCTGTGAGATGAATTCACAGAGGGCAAATAACACTAATCTGAAACATGTGTTGCATTATTTAAAAACAGATAAATGTTAAACTCTGTAGTGTTATGCTGCATGTTCCTCACCGCCACTGACATTTAAGTCTAAAAATATGAGTTTTTAGTATTTTTATCTTCAGTTTTATGCATAACACCTAGTTTGTGTTACACGCTTTATACTTGTTATACTTCTTTTCCTTTTTTGTTTCTATATGTTTTGTAGGGGATAGGGATAGCAGAATACAGAAAGGAAATGGGAGAGAAAGAGGGGGGGATAACATGTAGCAAAGGCAGGCTGGATCCGAACAAGGCTGCTGCGGTAAGATAAGCAACTAGGGCGACTTTGCACATTCATGTCAGTAAATCTCTAATTTATTGTTTTGGTTTGTATATATATTTTTCTGGCTTTGTTAATAGGTGTTTTATGCTGTACAGTCTCTTGTTATGATGTTTAGACTGGAAATGGGAGCAGTCAGAACAAACCAATCATCCACAGTTACCTCTCCTCCTCATATTCTGCCAGTCGCCGCTGCACATCTTTACACAGTTTATTCTTCTCATCACACTCGTCCTTCAGCTCACGGATCTGCGTCTTGTAAAGGGTCTGGGAAGAGGACAGATTTGTATAATTTCATATCACAGGTCTGAGATGGAGACAGAGAAATAAAATCCCTCAATGTAGATTTGTTGCTAGTCTGACAACGTTATGTTATCTATGCTGGGTTTCAAATATTTTAGTCACTACGAGGCAAGGGGCACAAAAGAAGGAAAATTGTTGGTTAGACTTACAGTGAAATACTGCTCTGCCTCCAGTTGGTCCTTCAGTTCCTTCAGCTGGCCACCCGCCTCCTGCTTCTCCCTGGAACACAACCAGCAATCTGTCAGCCATTACTCCTGGCCAACTAACCACCAGAGCCAAAGCACTTTCCTCAAATCAGATATGATGAATGAGATTCTCCACGACCACTTACTTAGTTGCCGACAATATTACAACAAACTCAGCTGCGTTGTGTGTTAATGTTCAATATACATTGTGCTCATTATGTTATTATATGTGTTGTTTACCTGCGTAGCTCCTGGTTCTGTTTCTCCAGGGCCTGCTTCATGTCCAGCAGGTGGTTGAGCTCCTGTTTGAGCTGTTTCTCTGACGAGCGGAGCACTGACACCTGCTGGTTCTGCATCTTCAGATCACTCTGGCTCAGACTCCGCTTGTGGATCTCCTGCTCCAGACGCAAGCTCAGGTTCTTTACCTGCGCAGACACATGCACACAGAAGCATTTATCAGCAGAGGTGCAAATCGACAGTTATGGGAAACATTTCAGGCTGCAGAATAAATAAAGAGAGGGGATCAACTCATGAGTATTTTCATGGATTACGCTGACACATTGTTTAAAAAAAATAGGGAGAAATGCCCATCACAGAGTCCTAGAGCCTTGCAAGCCTTGCTTGCTTTGTCGTAACATCTGTTAAAAGACTTGATTAGACTTAGTTTACAATATAAGGAAATATGATACAGAAAAGCTAAAAATATTTATAACGGAGAACCAAAATCGAATGTTTTTTTTTGTGGGAATTTCTTTCTAGGTGAAGAGGCAGACAGGAAACAGGGAGAGAGACGGCATGTAACTAAAGATTGCAGACGACAGTTGTGACCAAAACTTAAAAAAAAAAAAGAAGAATAACTTCTATCGATCGTTTAATGTATTAATCAACTGATTGTTTAGTGTCGTGCAAAGCATCACCTCTTCAGACAGTTTCTCCTTTTGTGCCTGCAGCTCGTCCAGTTTGTGCTGTGCCTGCTTGTAGTCACAGTCCAGCATGGAGTGGGTCTTCTCTAGTTGCAGCAGCTTTCCCTCCACCTGCAGCTTCAAGCTGTGCTCCTCCTGCAAGGTGCGCTCCATCTCTGGACCAAACAAAACAACCAGGAAATCAGAAGGGTAATCTACGCTGCACTCCATTGTTCACAGTATTGATAAAACAATTTTCACCTTTGCCTGCACCTCCTGGAGCCCCAGATAAATGTCCAGAATTACTCAAGTTAAAGTCAAATTACTGGACCAGAACTGTTTCAAGTGATGTTTCCTTTCTTCTTCAGCCTTTCTGAATCACTAAAGTCGACTTTCCTGATAATTCCTGAGTGCTTTTTAGTGTGTATTATCTCACCATCTGTGTTAAGTGAGCTAAGTAAAATACAGTTTTTAATCAACTGACCATATGCTGATGCTTTTCATCTATCCTGTATCTTTCACACTTTTGTCCTCCCACTCACTCACCTTTTAAGGCCTCAGACTTTGCCTCCTCGATGGACTGGTAGGTTTTGTTTTCATCTGCGAGCTTGGCTTTGGTGGCCTTGTGTTCTGCCTCCTCCTGCTCCAGACTCTGCTGGAGCGACCTCAGCTTGAACGTCAAGTCAATCTCTTGGTTGCTCTTTTCCTATAAAATCAAAGCAGATATTAGCTTTCTAAACACTATAATTTCTTTGGAATGTTTTATATTGAATTGACTTATTGCACAGGAACAGCCAAAGGCAAATGTTCCGAAAGCTGGGATACAATGTCAACGTAATATCAATTCACACTGGAAATTAGCAATTACAAACAGACACCCAACCTTCTCCAGGTCATTGAGCTTCTCCTGCAGCTGCTTCTTTTCAGCCTGGACCTTGGAGAGAGATGACTTCACCTCTTTCACCTCTTCTTCCAGGCCAGAAATACGTCCTGAAGTGGAGTGATGGGAATAGGGAAATTATAGAAAGAATATATGACGACTTTTAGTGCAACGGGTGCAAAAAACTACAAAAAAAGCGCACCTGAATCATACATCCTAGGTGAGACATTACATAATTCTCCCGCACATGTTTGGCCTCCAATACACGAAAAACAACTCACTTCATGTTTATTTTCCCTTTAGCTAACTCCACCCACATGGAGAATTTTACTAGGAAAAAAAAGCACAAGGCATCACAGCAAAACAGGCAACACCGTTGTTTCGATGTGTCCCCTCTGACCTCAGTGACTGGCCTCTGTGCGTGGACTGAGCACGTTTAAGTTTCCAAACAGCGTCTCACAAGAGGTGCTGGCTCTGGTTTCGGCTTTGGCTTTCATAGCCTCCTGCTTCACTCTCAGCCTTTTGAACAGATGTTTCCACCTATGATCTGATATTTCCCAAGGCCTAGTCCAAAAAACGATTCACATCTAATACCCTGTCCAGCCTCCAGCTCCAAGTTGTGTAATGCCGTTTCTTCCTGCTACTGAGGAGATGTTTACTGCAGCAGCTTTGAATGAGCCTGTGAATATCACATTACCTGCAGTTGGCAGTGAATTAACCTTTTTGACTGGTAGATTTTCTAACCTTATAACTTTTAATAGACGCATTAAAGTTGCTGAATATAAAAGGCTTGTAAATAATGGTTGGCTGGTTGCTAAGTTGGTGATTATTGTAGTAAAATTTAACAACCACATCTTAACAACAGTTTTCTTCTGCTTATTGTTAATTTCCCACCACTGTGTGCAGGCGATGTGTATAAATAATATTTTAATTTCTGCTATACAGTGGCCACTGTGGCAACAACTGCCAGTTCAGTCAGACAACTCACGTTTTTTAGTAGTATAAAATAGCTTTAGATTTTTAGATTTTCCCCGCAGATATCTTTACATAGAGATATTGGGGAGTGATGAGCAAATACCTTAAACCACCTAGCAGGAGCCTACAGGTGGAGGCTGGGGCGGTGGCGGGGCGTACAGAATGACAGGCAGCAATAATGATGCAGGGCAGCAGCGGCATTGACAGAGGAAAGAGGGAGAGCTGGGAAATTTTGCTGGTTAAATAGACCGCCGGCTTGGAAGCTTGGTTTGTGATTATGGAGAGTGAAGCATGTCGTGTGTGTGTGTATAGCAGTGCAGCTCGAGTTGACTGCCGGCAGGCTTCGCTCCATTTATGGTATAATGTTTGGTAGTTAGCTAAAATGCTAGGCTGTTGTGACAGTAGTGCAAGGGGAGAAGAGTCCACAAATGGACTCCTTCTTCTTCTTCTCCTTCTTATACAGCAATGTTTCTGTAAAGCCTGCTAACATTAGTCACCATAAACAGCTGGTTATACAAGAGCAAGTAAAGCTGCAGCAACAAAACCTCTGACTTTCATGAATATAGTGTGCTTTATGGTTTATAAATCCAACCTTTCATTTGTGAGACGAAGAATGATATTTCTTCTCTCAAAAGCTGCATTGTCTCACTTCACAACTACTTGGAACTACTTATTTCGTATATTTCAATAATGATTAATGTCAAAGTGTAACAGCAACCATGTCTCACCCTGCAGGTCAGTAATAGTTTCTGTCCCAAGGTTGCGATCTCTTTTCTCCTCCTCCAGCTCGGCTTGCAGCCCCATCAGCTGCTTCTCCAGCTCCATCTTGCCGTTTTCCAGCTGGCTGCACTTTTCCTGCATCTCCCTGAGGCTGACCTCCAGGCTCTCAGCCTGTTTCTGCGCCTCTGCCTGACTCTTCTTCAGCCGCGCTGCCGCTTCCTGCTCGGCCTGGAGCACGGCGTTGGCCTCTTCCAGCTACAGATGAGAAACGGACAGGATGAAACATTTCCCTGCAGGCTAAACTGGGTTAGTGCTGCGGTGAAATTAAAGGGATTTAATGGGGGAAAAGAAGAAGAATGAAAACAGAAGGCACAGTTGCTTGCTTGAATATGGATTATTAATTCAGCATAAGTGCACTTATTTAACTGTGAAGCAATATGAAAATGTATCAATAAAAGAAAGACAAAGCTGTGTAAAACTATGTTAGGTGAAGCTCCCTCTCACTTGTCTCTGCAGCTGGATGTTTTCCTCATTGGAGATCTGTGAATTCTGGTTCTTCTTCCTAAGATCCTCTAGCTGGTCCCTCAGGTTGTTCACTAATGAGTAAATACACAGTTAATGCAGTATTTTATGTAACACACTCAGTGGACCCTGTAAATACTATGATGAATTAATAGCCAGCATATTTAACAATACAGTATATACTGTGACAAAATACTGGGGGTGCAGAGTTCCCAGGTATCCTTGTGGTTTATTACAACGTTTTAATGAGTTTAGCAGTCAGACTGATATGTTAGAAATGCACTTATTCAGGAGTTCCAAGCTTAATGGTTAGAAAGGATATTTCCCAAGTGCTCACATTCGTTTTCCAGGCTGCGTTTTCTGTCAGCTTCAATCTCCACCTTGCGCAGGTTCTCGGCACTCTGGTGCTGCAGCAGAGCTCGCTCTCTCTCCAGCTGTCTTAGCGAGGCCTCGACTTTCTGCCTGCTACTCATCTTAAAATAAAAACAATGTTGTGAGTGGAATGATTTCTGATCTACTTTATTATATCATGATTGAAATTGCATCCATCCATCCTTACCTCCTTGTCTAATTCTTTCACCAGCTTGTCTAAACGGTTGGTGGCGTTTCTGGGGAAAAAGAACAGTTTTATTGCAGAGCTCTTCTCACAAATCCCCTTGTAAAAAGGCACCTGCCTTTTGTTCTGTTATTATCACTGTAGGTACAAGTTTCCAGATATTCAGTTTTTCTTCATTTATATGCAAATGTATCACGCAAAGTACTGGACATCTCCAAAATACAACAGACAAAACAGACAAAGAGAGCAAATCACTAACCAACTGTTCTTTGTACTCTGTACTTTGCTGATGTAAAATGTCGTAAGTGATTTATTTCCGTTCTTTTTAATCTTTTTAAATTACCCTTATCAGAAGCTTTGTAGGATGGGATGTCACTTCCTGTTGTGTAAAGCAATCAAACAGATTTCCTGGCTTATCCAACAGCTGGCACACAGCATGAATGCCAATATTCTCAGTGATTGCCTGTTTTAGTTAATAGTTATTATTGTTTAAAAAGGATTGGCGTAATGATAAATATAAACAAGCTACATGCACGAGCGTTAAAATGTTGGATAAAAGTTGGATGATTTTGTGCTCATTTCATGATGTTCTTGAGGTTAAGAACTCTTTAACCCAACTTTTTGGTGAGTTATTGCTTGAAAGGGACGTTTTATCATGAATGAAAAGTTAACAAATGTTTTCAGTTTGTACATTAAAAAAAGTAACTATCAAAATATTATAATAATATAGTATAATAATAAAGTAATATTTGTAATGTCAGAATGAGTAAAGAATCACTGCTGGTGCTCTGCGTTTGTGTGTGTTATTTGTCTAGTCGTACTTGCACTTATGCTCCAGCTCATTTTTGGCCTGCATGTCATGGTCGCGTTGCTCCTCCAGCTGATGAAGCTTTTTCTGCAGCTGCTCAGACCACCATAAAAGAAAATACTGTTACCTAATGGTCCTTTCCATATTTCTTTTAATGTCTTTTATCTCTCCTCCAAAAACACATACCTCTTTATTACTCTCTGAGCAATACTCCTTATCCTTAGCGTTTTCCTTACTGTCCTCTGAATCCTCCACAGAGCAGTTGTTATTTACCTTCAGCAGCCTGAGAGAGAAAGGAGGAGAGTCATGAATGTCTATTCTGTGGTAATTTTCCAGTCCTCATAACATCAAACACCATCCACATGTCCAGATCTCTACAAGCAAGAGACATATTTTACTCTAACCACCTTTATAATACAAGCTCATCAAGGTTGTGTAGAATGTTCATCAAGACACGTCGCATTTATTGCATTATTATTACTATTTACATAATCTCAAAACCTGAAACCATGTGCTGTGGAAAAAGCAATAAGGTCTGAAGATCTTTCTTACATCTGGATGGTGTTACCTTCATAGAAACCCAAAGGACGCCTCCAACCCGCGCTGTTTGTTGCCAACTGTTAACCATGAATGGTGGGCAACTATCTCTGGGAACCATTACATGCCACATGGCTGCATAATGGACAAGGAATCTCAAGCAATTTTATGATCACTTTAAGACCAGTTGTGCCCTTTAGCAAAAACTGTTCTCTCATGGTTTTCATAATTGTATTTAATGGATATGCACCCATATATTATAAAAAACAGAAGATGATTTCAGAAAAGTTGTATTCTAAAATGCACAATAAAGAGAGTTGTCATCAAGGCCATACTTTTTATTACCACAGTATTCAAATATTATGAGGAATTTGGGCTATTTTCACCACCACCTGTGTACACTTGTGCACTGGCTTGATTGTCATTTACTGACTTGCTGAATGCTATTGTTTCAACTTTAATCTTTATTGCCCACAAATGTGGAAATTTGCCTTTAGCCTCACAGGCTGGTTAAAACATTGTAAATCACAATTACAAACAGTAATAAATAATCTAACATGCACAGTTCAGACGACAATAACTGATATGGTTTCAATGTAAGATGAATTTATGAATTGAAAGTTATTGCATTTGGTATGAAAGACTAATAAGATTAAATAACTATAGGATCATGAATCAAACACACTGGTGTTTTTTTTTTTTTACCAATTTAGAAGCAGGGCTTCAAAAACTAGACTTCAGCATAAGCAAAGAGGGCATTTAAAGGGGCTGTCAGAACAAGGCAGCAGTGTGGAACCTGAACAGGCTTACAGTGTCTGACTGGTGTATGACTGTATTAAAAGGTATGGGTGTGAAGCTGTCTTTTTCTACCTCTTGCATTTTAGGTGCAGCGCTGTCTTTAAACCCGTTTCCTGAATCTAGAAGCCCTTGTAAAAGCTCCCACACATGAGAGCTACATTTTGTTCCAGTTAAAATCACGGTATCACAAAAAAAAAGTACATTCACAAAAGGTCAGCAAACTCTAATCTAGACAAGATCTCTATGCCCAGCAGCATATACGAGGTAAAAAGAAATGTCAGAATAAAACACTCACTGGTCCTCCTTGAAGTAAGTGAAGCCGACAAACGGTAGCTGGTTGCCCACAAAGGCTTTGGGTGGAGAAAAGGTCTCAACATCTCCTTTATCATCCTCTATGTCGTCAAAGTTACTGGTGTCTATGTCACTGTTCAGCTCTGGCACAACTGGAGCCACAGCTGGAGGACAGAAACAGAGAGAGAGAGAGAGAGAGAGAGAGTCATGGAGCAAAATGGGGAGAGAAGGAGGAGGAGGTGCAAATGATGCTGATGTTTTACATAAACTGTGGTGATCAAAGATTAAAACCTAATGCTGCAGGTATTTAAATTTAAAGTACATCTTCAAGAAACTCTCAGCAGTTTTCCAGGAGTAAAACTCTATGCCAACTTTGGCACCCTTTGCAATAGGAGTAAGCTCTCTGCAGGTTGGCGTGAGGCTGACACCACTCCTTTTCCCGGTACAGTGCTTGCTTTGTGCCCCACACACAGTGCCTTTCACCAGTGAAGCCTAAACGCCTGCTCTCTCCTCTCGCAGGAGCAGCCGTGCTTTAAAAGTCTGCACAACAGGCAGACAAAAATGTGTCAAAGGGCCAATCAGATAAAACTAAGCTAGTCCTTTAACCTATAAATAGTTCCTAATTGAGAAAAAAAAGCAGCCGCTATGGATCGAGTTCCTCAGACCAGCGCATTTCTGGCTCTGAGCAAAGCGCTCATTACTGTTAGGTCAAGACACAACCCTCAGCGTGACAAATGTGACTCAAAGATGGAGGAGAAAATACAGGGAGAGATCAAGCACAGGAATGAAACAAACGAGGGGGGAAAAAAAGGCAAAGTGCGGTGAGACAGAAAGAGACACGGGCCGCTCCATGGAGGCCCTTGTGGCACGACTTCCCAGAATGCTCTCTGATAGCGGGCGGCTAATGACAGGCAGCCGTGGCCACAGTGAGAGTGAGAGAGCGGGAGCAGCCCTCCAAACTGAGACGCCCCTCTCATTAGGCTAGTCCACACAGGCCGCAGAGCCTGCCCCGCCCGCCGCTACGGGGGGTGCTGCCTCCCGTCCCATCCATCGATTCATCCATCCATCTGTGGTGCTGGCTTATTTTCCCTTCAAACTTCCCAATGCTTAATAAGTTTGATAAACATGGAGACAACTGGGAGAATCGTCAGTGGAGCCCAAACATGGAAAATCTCCTGAGTCCTAGCCACACACAGCAGGGAGTAAAGTCATCCTCAGCGCGCACGCACGCACACACACACACACACACACACACACACACACACACACACACACACACACACACACACACACACACACACACACACACACACACACACACACACACACACACACACACAACAAAAACACAAGGGCGGGAGGTAATAAAGCCGGGATGCCAAAGGGAGCAGGGCAAGTTTGAGTGTGCGTTTGAGTGCGTGCGTGTGAGACAGGACATGCATGTGCAGTGCGGCAGTGGCACAGTAGTGGTTTTGTGTTTCAGACTGCCAGGCAGTCTTAACTTCAGTCAGAAATTCTGTCTGTTGTCTTAATCAGAGCCAGGTGAAGCAGAGAGACGGAGAGGAAAGCATAAAGAGCCTGCATGTAATCCTATACAGACAGAGGTCCTGTTCATATTACCAATATAGCCTTTTATTTATTTCCTTCCTTCCTTCCTTCCTTCTTTCCTTTTTAAGTAATGCTTAATCTGATAGAACTGTTTAAGGGGAACATTGAACCATGACTCTTTACTGATGTGCAGTGGTCAAATGCTACATTTAAGAGTAAAGTATTACCTTAATAATGTAATCACTGATGGATATCATAACAGAACAAAATTGTGATAAATATATTGTTTTTATACATACTGCAGTATTTATGAGAAATATATACTTTTTCACCTCCTTTCACCTCTTTTATTTTAGCCAATAATTAAACAATATATATCACAAGGGCCAGTATTTTATAATATTTGGACGGTTAGTTTTGGGGCTACACAACATTTAACAGAACATGCTCCTATTGGTGGATACTTTCATTATTAGTATTGGTGGATACTTTCATTATTAGTATTGGTGGATACTTTCATTATTAGTATTGCTGGATACTTTCATTATTAGTATTGCTGGATACTTTTATTGTAAGTATTGCTGGTATTGGTGGTGCAGAGCTAGCATGCAATGTTTAACCCATTGAAAAAGGTATGGTCATCAGATTTAAGTGTCTGCTCTTAACATTTAAGAGCTACTAAAATATAAACTCCTCAGCTACTTACTAGTGTTAACAAAACACTGTATTATTCCATTTAGTATAGAGTCGGTGGTAAAAGTGTCTTATATCTTCTCAATTCCCTTTAATTTATTTTTTTTTCACCCATATGCAGCTGATTATCCTGCAGGTTTTGTGCATCATGTGCTCTGCTGCTCTGCACAGCATCCAGTCATATAATGTAAGATAAGAGCGGGGAGCATATGGAGAGCATGTGTACCATATATACTCAGGCTTATTGGCTCAGGAGATGGAAATAAACTATGAACTAAGACTGAAAAGAAAGGAATGCAGAGGAATGGGCTGGAGATGATAAGAAGTGTAAGCATAATCAGAGGAATGGTAATGAGAGGTAGAAAGAGAGAACACTTCACATATTACCAGAGATGGAAAAGGAGAAATACACAAGATTCAAATAACATGCACATTACACACTTACTCTCTCGGATGTTGTCAAAGGTCCACTGGTTGTTCTTGAAGAATGGATGACATTTGATCTCATCCACTCCAGTGCGGCCCAGACGAACCTCCCTGCACACACCAACAGGACCAAGACTGTGAGCAGAGCCTCCTCAGGCTGAACACAAAACACACCCCTGCTTGTCCCCTCCACCCACCATCGTCATCAACATGTCATCCCAAACACACTGGCTAGTGGAGTGACCACTAGGCATTGACCACACTGACCAGCATGGAGAGCCACATGACCACTGGTGGACACTGGAACCTCCTCTAACCAGACAGATAATATAGATCCAGGAGGAGAGAGGGAGTGAAGACAGAAGGATCAGACTGCAGGAGGCAACATCAACAACTGACTGACTGGCTCAAACACAACTGCTGGAGCTGCCTTTAAAAGTCTACACACACATACACTCTCCCTTTCTCTTCCCCCTTTCCTCCCTCCTCCACCGCTGGGTACAGGGCTGGAGGGGTGCGGCAGTTTGGGCTTGCCACGTGTGGGACATTCCAGACCCAGCCAAGAGGAAGAGAGGGCAGGGGCGGGGAGGAAGAAAGAGAGAAGGGAGAGTTTTTAAACCCCCGCAAAAAATTAAAAAAAAAGAAAATAAAAAAATCTGACATGCAACCAGGCCAGGCTTACAACGAGCTGTGTTTCAATGCCCGGAAAACTGCAGGAGTGCAAAGGAGAAAGTTACAGCAGAAAGGGGAGGATGGAGAAATGGAAAGTGGGACCAAGAGAAAGAAGAAGAAAAAAAAATAATTGAAAATGGAGAGTGATAAAAAACACATGGAAAAGAGGAAAAATCAGGAAGGATTCAGCAAGATGGGGTGACAGTGACAGAGCATGAGTGGTGAATGAATGCATTGGTCAGTGTTCCAGATATGTGTGTGTGTGTGGGTGTGTGGCTGGGCAGCCATACACATGAGAGATTCTGTCTGTGGTAGGAGAATAGTGAGTGAGAAGGTAAATAAACTGAGTGAGGAAAAATGAAAGGCTGCTCTGTATTAAGGTAGAAAGGGCCTGTGTTTGAGCCCTCTCGGGGGCGGGGCTTCTAATGTAAACAGGAAGTGGTTTCTTCCAGGGGGTTGGGCCACTAACCAAGGACATGACCCACACCCATACATTTGTGTAACTTTAACCTTTAATACTAATAATATGTTAATGCTAATAGAAAAAATTGCAACAAATCCAATGAAATTACCAAAACCAAAAATACATTTATCGTACTAATGTGCTTCTGTGCAATAAAGCTCCATTGTTGTCCAAACAATATTAAAAACACATAGTTTACACTGTTGCATTGACATGTTCCTTCTTTACAATAACCTCTGGGCACTGTTTGGGTCAATCCCACTGCTGTAAATATGCATCACTATCACTTCACATCAAATGTGTATCAATCTGTGGTTAAAAACAGTCCCCAACAAATGCATTTATTGCTCCTGTCTGAGAAACATTACGCTACAGTTCCCAGCTGTTTATGGGAAATTGTTTTGCCTTATTTTTAAATTAAACTGTATATGTGAGACCTGTTTTTGAAGACTTACATCTTCAGTAGCAACCAATAAGACTGCTGGTTTTGTTTTTTTCATGGGATTTATTGACAATAAAGAAAAGACTATAAAAATATAGATTTAGGTCAGCCATGTCTTTTGATAACTTGTTTGTTGAACTACAGAACCACAAAGTTAATTTATTCCTACCACACCATGCCTTATTCCTCTTTCCTCATCAGAGTGGTGGAAGCCACCAAAACATTTGCTGAATAAAGCACCGCAGACTGAGGAAGAGTTATGCAACATGTTTAAATCTAGATGACTTTTGTTAGCTTTGTTGTGTCTAATCTTTGACACAGTTCTCACACAGTTTATTTAAGCTGTTGCTCTACCGTACAGTGTGACAGATGTGTGTTTATCACGTCCAATCATGGAATCCAACATTTATCAACATGGGGAAACTGCAACAGTCTGCAAATGACAGGCAACCTGAAATTTGTGAAATATTCTGAATTCTTGTTAAAGCACAAAGTGTTAGTTTTTGTCATTCCCATGTGCGAACCTGTCAGTAAGAAAGGCACAGATGAGGTCTTTGGCATCCTGAGACATCTCTACATCATCTGGGAAGATGAGTGAGTTCTTGTGGTTCATGATCTTCCCGTAAGTTCCAACCAGTGACTCGGCATAGAAGGGAGTTTCACCTGCCAAAAAAAGTCATGTTGTACAATGATTGATGGACATATTTAGGATTTTAGCTGACTAACACCACAAAAATGAACAGGATGTATCTGTCGGGCTGACTTGTTGATGATTATGCCAATGACTCAACGATTACAGCATCATAGCTTCCAACATCCAAGACATCATATCCTGTTAGTCCATAAAAATTATGGCTGTATATATGGTTGGCCACTTACCGACTAGCAACTCATAGATAAAGACACCGACAGACCACCAGTCGCACTCCCGGCCATAGAAACCATCACCACCCTGGGACTGGAGCACCTCAGGGGAGATGTAGTCGGGTGTGCCTACAGCTGTGTCACAGTGCACCATTCCTGTCTGCAAGCAGGAAAACACACAAGATTTACTATACACAGAAAACAAGAATAGAATAGTTGGGACAGTAAAAGTAATAAAATTTCTATTGTGCATGACTCAAAAGAGCTGTTAAACAGCACCATATAAAGAAGTGGATGTAAAAAAGAAACTTAAAAACACCAACTGAATTTGTAATTTACTTCTGAAATACATCTCAAACTTTTACAGTATTTCAGATGTTCTGAGTGGGAGAAATAATTCAATCTATTCAGGCAGAGATAATTTAGGGCAGAGTTCAATCTCTGCAAGTCTGTTTCGACCTTGTTTATGTGACACATTCTGTCTACTGGTAGATTTTCAGAGAGCTCCGATGTGTGGAACCGCTTGAGGACCAGCTATTTAGAAATTGCTGTGGTAAAAACAAAAAGGTAGGGAAAACACTTCCTTCCCTACACCAGAGGCGGGGCCTCTGCTGTCGTCTAGATTGGTTGTTTAGCACAATAAGGTCTGAGGCCTTCTCAAAACAACCTGACAGTGCTGCACTGAGCTTCACTTCTCAATCTAAACACTTGGTGGTGCACTAGGGCACTGAAAAAAGACCACTGGTCTTGAGACAGAACAGTCCATCCACTTTCTATTTGACTAACTCAGGAGAAGTATTCTCTTTAAAATTCAAGGACTGAAATTCTTCTGAAACAAAAGGTCCAAACCCAACACAGCTGACAAAAAACAACAAAACTCTAAACCTACCGAGTCCATCTTCATACACGTGCCAAAATCTGCCAGTTTGAGGTGTCCGTGTTGGTCCAGCAGCATGTTGTCGGGTTTAACGTCACGATGGATGAAGCCCATGGAGTGGATGGCGTTCAGTGCCAGCACCACTTCAGCCGTGTAGAAGCGAGCCCACTTCTCGGGCATGTCGTAGTTCATGGTAAGTGTGACCAGGTCGCCTCCAGGCATGAACTCCATCACCATGTAGAGGTGGCGGTCGTCTTGGAAAGCACAGCACAGCTAGGAGACGACAAACATACTAACTTACTTACACAGGATCATTAAGCCATTGCTTAGATATAGATTTGACTACCAGGTGTGGGTGCGTTATCTCTGCATGATCTGTGTTCAACATACAACCACAGACCACATAGATTATCTCCAACTTGATGCAAACATCATGACAGTAGTAATTACCCCAATGCATGCTAAGCAGAGCTGGGAAAAAAGAAATATAAGCTATATATTGTGATCTAAAATTAATTTGGGTTATCCTGTAAACTTTGGTTATTGTAATACATGTTAAATGTTGTTTTTTCAGCTCTTTAAGGAAGCTTTACAGTTAAATTATGTGTATTTTGAGCATATTTTGGTCATCATAGTCACATTACTAGTTACCTTGATTATTAAGTGTTTCCTAAATTACTTTATTCAACTTTATATACATACCTGCTTGCTGTTGATACTGGACACAACAAAGCCAAACTGATTCTATGGTTTAAAGTATTTATGGTTCTGTCCATACTGCTCATATCATCGTTAAACTATTTACATATCAAGGCTGAATTCATTTGTACTGTGTATTGATTGTTGTTACATCCATGGATATTATCACTACCTCATTAATGTAATGTTTATTCTGTATGTTAATTCACCTTTATAAATATCTTTATGCACCTTTGCTACTGTTGGTGCAATGGCAGTTAAGTACGCAGGTCAATCCCAAAGGACAGGAGTTAGAAGAGGTTTTATAAAATTCAAGCAGATAGGACGTAGTACTCAAAAATGTTATATTAATATATGGTAGGCATTATAAAACATTTTGATGTGCGTGTTTAAAGGGGCCAGACATCGACCAAAAACGTATTCAGTCTCTGTAGTAGAAGGAGGCTGGGTCTGACTAAATAATAACTGAATAAGCTTCTTTCTTTTATGCTTTAATGTTTAATCCTTCCACTATGTTACCCATCGTCTCGTCGAGAGAATAAAACAAGTAAATGTTCACACCTGGACGACCCAGGGACTGTTGGAAAAGGCCATGATGTGCCTCTCCTCCCAGAAGAAGGCAGAGTCTGACCGCTTGATCATCTCAAATTTGTTGAGCCGCTTCATGGCGTAAACCTTCTGAGAGGCCTTGTGGCGGACCTACAGCGGAGGAGGGCAAGGACAAAAGAGATGTTTGCGTGTAAACACTGATAACCGTACAAGGACAATAAGAACAAGATAGTAAGAAAGTCACGATGACCAAGATAACATGGCAAACAGAGAGAGAGAGAGAAGCAGAAAGGGGAACCCATAATTACAGGCACACACCCATAGAAAGACATGCTTACACAGGATTTGAGGCACAAACACACTAAGCAGCAGAGGGGAGGGGGCCTCTCTCCTCCACACCCCCACACCAGACTTCACACTCTCTCTCCCACACACTGAGCCTGTCCAGACTTGTTTCTACCACAAGACACTCAGGAGAGACCAGATTCAAGCTTCCTCAGGCACAAGAGACAAACATCTGGTAAGACTGGGAGTTTGAAAGGAGATACTGCAGGCCCTAATTACTTTTTTTAAACTCAAAGTCAGTTAAGTTGGTCATGATGAGGAGAAAGATGCCAATTATATTCGAAACAGCAAAAAAACAAGTGGCAGATGTCATATATTTTATATTTTGGTAGATTCACAGAGTGTTGCTCCCTCTAGTGGTTCACATTTCTGGTATGTTGGTGCAAAATGCTCTATTTCGAAACATCTTGAGAATCTTTCCATCGAATCTCCCTGCACCGCTGCATGATTTAAAATCGAAAAAAAGCTGCAGGGAACAACAAGATGCTTATTAACCAATTCTCTTTGCAGACAAAAGTCTCACCAGCTGCACTTCTCCGTAGGCTCCTCTCCCGATCAGCTTCACTTTCTCAAAATCTTCCAGCTTCACCTGCAGCTCCCGCAGCTGACTCACCGTCTTCTCATCTGTGGGACGGACACATACGGTACGTTACCATGGCAACAGACGGGTCAAGCTCCAACCGTTGAGATTCAAAGGGAACAGGTTAGCTGTTAACTGCTGGAGAGAGGTCAGTGAGAGTTTATTAAAAAGTTACAGCAGTCTAATGTGATATATTAAACTCATGTTAGCGGGGGCGCCCTAGTAGCTCCATGCCCCATATACCATGACTGAGTCCTCTCTCCCCCCTTTTCTGTCACCCTTAAGTTGTAACTATCAATTAGAGGCAAGAAAAATTTAGTTTTTAGTTGAAAAATATTTTCAGAAGACATGCTGCTGTATGTACTTTCTCTAACATAAGACCCATGATGTTAATTTCAATCTTGGTAAGTCTAAACAAAGATAAAGTGCAAAACATTTCTCAAAAACTGATTAGAAAAAGCAGAAGCAGGCTGCACAAAAGTGATACATATCTAACTTTAGAGATATTTTGACTGTATAATTTGTAAAGGCCAAATAGCAGTTGATTTGGATACAAAAATATCACTGATAGACTACAGAGAGGCTTATTCATATATTTCTTATGTCTTTGTGACCCTTTTCCAGAAACAACCACTGTAAACACTGCACTCTCTTTAGTATGTGGCCTGCAGAAGAAGGATTAAGATAAGGTCTGGAAAGTCATGCTTTTCATTACGACATAAAAGTTCTACTTAACAGAAAAGTTTGCATTCATTTACAAACCAGCAACATACTCAATTCCTCATGACCAGAGGGCTCTGAGTTGTATTTAACAACATCATAGGTATTTTTCAAGCTAAGCACGAGAATCTTGACCTTCACCACAACACACTGCAGCTCTTACATCGGTTCAGAAAGGCATCTATGTTTTTGTTTTTCCGTAGGGCAGGATAGTTCAAATCATGAGCCAATGCATTCATGGAATCCTGAAAGACACAAAAGACAAAAAAGAAAATCAATGAACCCTTGACAAATACACAGAAACAAGGTTTGGATTCTCAGTACAAAAGTACTAAACTTCTAGGTTTACCCCTGATGTATCAAAAACCTTATTCAATAAGAAGTTCAACCTTAGAATTACTTCCTTAAAATTCAGAAATATTAAAATACAGTTTCACAGCTGATTCATTCAAGTTTTATTTATGTTGGGAAGGAAGGAAGGAATATTTTTTTCACATTAATCTGTCAGGACAAATCTTGTTAGTTAGCAACCCTGACCTTCTGCTGACTGATAAAATATTAAAAAAACTGAATGAACGGAGGATGCAAGTAAGGAAGGAAGGAAAGAATTACATATTTGTGATTCATGTGCTCCTCCGTGCAACATTAAGGGTAGACAAAATGAGACTGCTAATGTGCAGCACAGCAATACAATGACAGGAAGACAATGGAGGTTGGGATGTAAAGACATAACAAGTCACACAACAACAGTAACTACTCAGATGATGCCATTACAGCCCCCCCCCGCTCAAACACACATACTATCACCTAGGTCAACCAACGCATGCTCCGGCCAAACAAACACCAACTCCTCCCAGTGGCTTAATCCAGAGGGCCGGGGGCAACATCAGACTAAAAGCCGGGGCCTCAGTAGTGTCATCAGCGCTTAAATCAGCAGTGTTGAGTTTCACATGGAAACCAAAATGTCTCTGTGAGCCGAACGCATGAGGCTGGCAGGGCAGTTGGGCAGGTGGGTGGGGGGGTTAGGGTGAAGTATGACCTTCTGTTCCTCAAAAACAAGGGTCAAGTGGAGTCATTCAGGGTGTGTGTGTGTGTGTGTATATGGGGTTTGGGGAGTCGGGTCTTTAGTGTCTTTTGGACTGTGTGTTCGGGGACATGTGCGTGGGTGGGCAGGGGCATGTGGAACAATTCTGTACCTTTAAATAGCAGCTGTGCGGAGAGATCTCCCCCCCACCGCAGACGGGTGGAAATAGACCTGAAGGCTCAGAAGCTATTGTGGGACAAACAGCTTATGGGTCTGGATTCAGGCTGAGCGCTCCAGGATCTGTGATCATTTTACACCAAGTGTGTGTGTGTGTGTGTGTGTGTGTGTGTGTGTGTGTGTGTGTGTGTGTGTGTGTGTGTGTGTTGTAACGGCCACGGTTACTGCAGTAGAGAAGGAACTCTGTTTTCAACAGTGGGCCGTATTAACATTTGAATCTTATGGAAATATAATCTAATTCTAGCAGATTCAAATGAAGCATTTGGAGTGTGTGTGTGTGTGTGTGTGTGTGTGTGTGTGTGTGTGTGTGTGTGTGTGTGTCAAACATACTTTGGCTTTCATAGAGCATAAGAGACTTCAAAATTAATTAACATTATTATGGACGGATAATTTATTGGCTATAATTTAATGATATTATAAATCACACACATTATTGGCAGATAATTTATCCGCCCTGATAATTATCATGCATCCCGTGTGTGTGTGTGTGTGTGTGTGTGTGTGTGTGTGTGTGTGTGTGTGTGTGTGTGTGTGTGTGTATGTAGTAGCTGTTGCCTCCTTGTACCTGAAAGCAGTTTTTAATTATAAATAATAATAATCATCTGGAACAGAAAATGGTGGTTCACTCAGTAAGAGGTTAGAAATAGACCAGAACTGAGGTTCAGTGATATCAAAATCTTGTCACCCTCGTCAAATCTGTCCAGAATTCATCGATTTCAAGTTCCAAAAGTTATGAATACAGTCATTTAATATGTAAAAACTAAGACTAGAAACACTATAGTTCAGGAGGTTGCTGAATAAACTCAAATGTGGAGTTAGTGGACAGCTACAGGAGCTTCCCTTGCATTCTTTTGTTGGAGGAGTTGAGGAGTCTTGCAGACAGTTTGTTTGTACAAGAATGATCTGCAGCATAAGACCAGTAAAACAGAAGGGTAGGTGAAAGCCGGTGAGACCAGAGATGGTGTGCTGTTCTGGGAATTCATGATATTATTAATCTGGACAACGATCACGATGGTTATCCCGTATTTCCCACCACTGTTTACATCATACAGCCGTGTTATTATGTGGTGTGAAGCGTTCAAGGTTTAAATCTCTCTCCACTTGATTTGAGTCTCAGACCAGTCAGTGCTGAAGACAATTCAAACTTCTGGAATCTGGACAAATCTGAACATGATTCTGTAGTTCGGGCTTGGTTGAGCGTCCTCTCCGCCCTTAGACAACACCTCCCACCTCCTCCACTGCGAGCTGATACTGCCTGAGCACATTCAGCAACCGTGGAGAGGCTCTCACACTGCATCAGAATGTGAACTGCGTCCTGTCTCTGCTGATCGAAAAGGGTTTTGAATAAAGGTGCCTCCCCTGATACAAACTACATTCTTCACATTACATTCTTCACAAAGGAGATTTTACATACCTCTGGTACATATTTGAATGTTACCTACCTCTGTTAATCATTTTATGTTTGAATACTAACAATAAAACACAGAAGTAGAATAAGACACACATAGTGCCGCCATGTTAGTTAGAATATACTGCTTGTATGCTACTGTGCTTATAGTCATATAGCTTATGTTTACATGGTCTCTGACACATCCTGTGATTATGCTATAAACTGAGCAGTGATACCCTTCTTATATAGTGTTTTTTCCTACGTATAAGCTAATCCTGCATATACTTCATATTATTGGTATGTTTCGATTATCATCAAGTTCATTAGTATCATTTAAAATGAATTGTTCTTGTGCTGCTCAGCCCTGGTTGGCAGAAGGAAATAAAAAATAAAATACTACTAGATGATTATTTCTATCCATTTTTGATTGAATATTAGATTTAGAGTTTAAGTCTATATAAATGTCCAAAATTAGAAATTTCCATCACAAGAGCCTAAATCGATGCCTTAAAATTGCTTATTTTTTCTGACCAGCAAATCAAGTCACATTTTCTATTTATACTATTATCATTATTCAAATAAAACGTATCGTTACAGCACAACACATAAACACATTAACAAATAATTAAGTATTGACTGAAAATCATCACCCACACAGGTAATTTATGGATTACTTAGTTAGCAAACACAAGCTTTGTTGGCTCGGAATAACAACAGTTACACTTATAACTTTTCCCAACTGTAAAAGATAGAAATAAAAAAATCAACTGCAGCGTATATTCTAATAAACTTCACAGACTCAGAACTGAATCCTTTGTTTTACAGAAAAAAAACATCTTTTGTGCACACACAACAAAAATGACTGTGGACAAACAGGAAATAGTGATGGGAGGTCACAGCAGGTCAGCGCCATCTCAATTCCAGGAAGTGACTTCAGCTTCCTGTCTGGTATCTCCCTGCTTTAGGCAGCACGGTGACCATTGTTGTGCTCCCTACAGAACGACCGGGAACCAGACTATAGTGATAAAACTGAATAGTGAGTTTCGGATGGACAGTCGTGGACTGGATCACTCCGATTATATCTCTGTACGACATAAATTGGGGTTAGCTCATGTGAAGCTGAGAGCGGTGGCTTTACACTGGACTTATGACTCACCAGTGCTGAGAATAGACATGGTTCCTCAAACAGGAAATATTACAACATGGAGCGGCAATTTAATGTAGACAACGTTTAGTGTAGATCGACTCTTCTTCAACTGCCTCATCTTCATCAGGCTGACATATTGACCCCAATGATGAACCCTGGGTATGACCTGTCTGGGTTGTTCTTTGCACCAAATGTCACAGAAATAACCTGACAGACAACCACGGCTGGTTCTGTTAATAATAATAACAAACCCGTATAAAGCAACAGCGAAAGTAAACATTTTCCCATCAGACTGTTTCCTGTTGAGCAAAAAACCGAGACCATGCAGAAAAGCATGTTCATCCACTGTCGACATTTCCTCAGGTATGTCTGAAAGGCATTAGGCTCTAACATACTTTAAAATGCATATTTCCATAAGTGGCTGTGTGCATTGGTTGTGGCCTGGTGTGAGATCCTGTTAAAAAAAAAAAAAAGTAATGTCCAGAACAAAAAAGCTGCTCCGTGTCAGCTCAAAAATGTGTCTCTGTTGTCAGAGGTTGGGCCAGAGGAGTTCAGCAGTGGCATTAGTTTTTTTTTTATTTTTTATCAAAGTTTAGCTAAGTACATTCTTAAGACAGGTCAGAGGGAGGGCATGTCAATTAGAGGCCAGGCTTAAAGACTCAATGATGATGGAGTGGCAGGAAAAAGATAAATAGGTGAACTATCAATTAGATCTCAGGGAAGGGCACTGTTTGCTTCTTATGTCCTTTAATGGCTTTAATTCACCTTTTAAAATCCCATCACATCTGCTTGTTATAAAACTCCCATCCCATCATATCTGTCAAATATAGTATAGTGTGTTCAACACAGGAAACTACAGCACTCATTGAGGTGGGAATGATTGACAACCTGAGCTTTACACATTGTTATCTTAAACATTATAAAGAGTGCCGTCCAATTATTCACTCACACAATAACAACTATTAGTATTCTTTAGATTGTGTCACTGGCTTAGATTGATTTCTTCACTCCAGCTGTTCTCTGAGACTAGACAAGAGGCATAATAATTAACCTACTTAGAGCACAGCTATGTGTGTTACTCACTTGTCTGACTGTGACACCTACCCTGAATCAGACCCTGAAGGTAAATGCAAACTCACCAGTAGAGTTTCCAAGTTTAGAGCCGACTGTTGGTTCCTCATCAGGGACTCCAGCTTCTTCAACCGGCTCTCCAGTCTGCTCTCCGCTCCAAGCATGATTACAGCGCAGTGTATCCAGCTCAAATGACATTAAACAGCAAAAAAAATAATAAAACAAAAACACCTGTAGGCCTGTTTTTGTGTTGTTGTTGTCCCGAGTAGGGCGCACTCCGCTACTGCTTGGCTCAGCTCCTCATGCCAGCTCTTCTGTAAACTGCGGCTTGAGTAAGTCAGGTTAATTATTTATCCGCAGCCAAAGTGCGCTGTCTGTCTCCTTTTTCATTAATGGCTCGCAGGAAAGTGAAACCCCCGGGCGGACTTTTGAGAGCACGAATGGAGACGCGCTTCACTCTCAGGTGAGCCCCGTCCGTTCCCAGGTAGGCTACAACAAAATCTGATCCGACCACAACGTGTCCAACCTGTAGGGCAGATCGTTGTCAAGGTACATAGAATAAAACAGCACAACTTCCGGTTACAACTGTCAAATTAAAACTTTCAGAGAACTTTTTTTTTTTTTTTTTTTTTTTTTTTTTTACTGAAACGCACCACAAAAGATTTATAAAACACGTGAGGAGAAATGTTATAGCCTGTGATTATATTATAGATATATGTATAATGATAGCCTAGTATAATACTATATAACCTTCATATTTATTAATAATGAAGAAATATTTTAAATATAAATATATATTTAATAGCTATATATAACTAAATAAAAAAAACGTACATTTGATAAAAGAAATAAATTTAATATAGGCTAGTAAATGTAAATGTAGAAAGTAAATACATATTATTTGTCAACATATCTCTTTGTCTTTGATGTTCCTATTTGTATGTGTATTTTACATCAGTTGTGAAGCACACTGTGCATCTTTTGTATCAAATGTGTTATATAAATAGTTTCACGTCTATTTAATTAAAAATTAAATTAAAAAAAAATTCCCAATACGATTTGGAGTAAAACATATAAAATAATAAAATGCTGATAATAATAAAATAGCGACAAAACGCAACGCCACTATGATACAGCGTAATCTCGCGATCAATGCTTTTATTTTGAAGGCAAAGCCCTACATCCGGTGTTATACTGCTTAACTATAGGTGACTTCACAAATATAATCCCATATCTATTTTCCTGTGTAGTGATAAGTGTTTTAAGCAGTTTTTGGTTTCTGTTTTACCCACTGAAAGCTGCCCCAGGCCAGGGTATCACTGCACCCCTAAATACCCCCAATCACTGTTCCTAGTAAACCCTTACCAAGCCGGAATTCCTGTTCTCTTATCTCATTCATCTATTTTACCGTCATAGCTCAGGGCCTCGACCAACTTCCAGTATTTTAGGAATGCTGATGCGCTGCCTTGCAGAAAAGTTGGCCCTAAAAATAGACATTTACAGGGAAGCATGTGTGTTAGCAATTCTTATCTACTGCTCAAAATCTGCATAATAGTTTTATGTATGTAAATTAATTAGGCTAACATAGGCCTACATTAAGATTTAGAAGGTTACAGAACAACAAAATATAATTTCTTAGGTATAAACGAGATAAACATTTAAAATCGTAAAAGAGAAAATAACTGTGAAAAAACATCAGACGTTTTCTTGCTCTTAGAATAACTTTTATTTATTTTACTTTACAAAGAGGTCTCCACCAAAGCTCTTGGTTACTGAAACTATATTCAAATACAATCTGTGAATAGTCTATTCAGACAGTGGGCTAAACAGGGGAGGTCAGAAAGCACCAATGAATTTCAGGCAACAACAGCAACAAAATGTCTGACACAAAAGTATTTTTTTGTCCAAACATTGAATTAACACACATCTTATATCAGGTCAGAAATGGCAATGATTAAAATGTGCAATAAAACCAACAATGGCAGTCTTAACAATGTCTTTTTTGGGCCTCTGGCGTCAGAGTAGAGGACCGGTTGTTGACACTGCAGCTGTATGCATGGAGTGATGTCATCACTGACTCATACAAGCTGTTGACAAAGTCCCCTGGCCAGCCGAGGATGACACTAACATAATGGCATGACCTGTGGTGAAGATGTAGGCTGGAATGAGTGGGGAGAAATGTGTCGCTGCTGTGGGCACACACAAACACACAAACTGATGCATGTAGTTTTGGAATGATGGCATGGGTGGGCCACATTTGGAGTTATTCTAGGAGTAGGCTGTGATGACTACTTATCCCAGGGGACTGTTGAACTCTTCATTAAGAAGAGGCTTTGAAGGGCACCCTGGGTCTTCTTGGTATGACACCGCTGTAATTATAGGCAATATTAGGATGTAATGAGAAAATAATGGCAGCAAGGTGTGGAGGAAAAGCTATACTTGGCATCGGATATCAGTCAGTAATCTGCCATATGGGTGTCAGCAGACTGCCTATGAGGCAGGTGCAAAGTTACAAAGGCAAACACTGCGCTCTAGTGGGCATACAGTATATAAACATAAAGGCAAGGGGCATTTAAGAGCTTCAGCGCTCACAAAATACAATCATCAAAGAAAAAACAAACGAAGAAATAAAGTACTTTTTTGTGAAAATCTACAGATGCATCATCCATAAGTTAATATAACATCAAATAGTATCTGTGTAGAGTTCAACTAGAAAAACTGAAATCTTACAATGGGACAAAAGTGTTGACAAAGACTCTGAGTGATCTAGCTGGATCAAATCTCATCAGGTGTCCCCAATAGCGGGAACTGTAATACTGATCGCTGCATACTACAGCATTTGACGGTTGAGTATAATACCACATTTGGTAATATTACAAGCCTGATTTTTTTTAGAATTGTCTGATCAGAGCCAGTGACGTTAAAAAAAAACCCCATCAGAATCAGGATCAGTTAAACTGTCATATGCCATGGATGTTCAGGATTTTAAAGCAAACATGCATGGCAATCGTTGCTAAAAGTGATTCAAATTCTGATTTGCTATCAAAGCTTTGGCAGATCAGGTGAAAGGTGAGGGAGGGTCTGTAAATCACACGTTTACGGACCAGCGTCATCAAGATGTGTCCACAGACCATCTCAACTACTGTATATCAGTAGGTGTTCCCTCATAAAATTATAAAGTTTTAGAGGAGGCAGAGGGAGCATCCTTTCTCCTCAAAGATTGTTGCTCAGTCATCTTTTTTTAACAGCCCAGCCAGGCTCTCTCCACACAGTGTATAAACTGCCTGAGGATAAATTCTTAATCTCAGAATTTCTCTCCTCCCTTGAAGGGAGTGAGCAAGGTAGGGAATCACAGGCAATCAGTTGTGAGGAATCAAACCTCAGAACTAGTATGTTATTGTGTACCGTATTTAGATTGGGCGCGAGGTGGAGGGGAGAAGAGTATACTATATTCCTGGCTGTCGGTCAAAAAAATAAAAAAAGCTCCTGAAGTCTGAGCCCCCGTCGGCCAGGTAACCCAAAACCTGGAGTGGGGAGTCAGCGTGGGATATGGGGAGAGGAACAATGTGGCTCTTTGTGCAAGCCGGGCAGAGAAAACAAACCGTTTCCCCTGGAAAGAGATCATGTTCAGGCTCCATCTGAGAAGACCACACAAGGCTGATCAGAGCCCTGTCTGCTGTGTACAGCAAGGAGAGGAGGAGGAGGAGGAGGAGCGCATCTGGGCAGCCCCACTAACTTGTGTACACACACACACACATACACACACAGACACACTTTAGGGCAATGTCAGACAGGGAGAAGATCTGAGATGCTCCATATCAAGCGCTCACTGAACACAACATAACACACTAGCCAACAATACTCTTTGGTCCAGGACAAAATGTGTGACTGTGTTGTGTTCTTCCCCCACGTTGACTTGATAATATGGCCATCTGGACTGCTTCCTGGGTTGGCACCCTGCTGGTCTACAGGCAGAGCAACACTCTGGTGGGCTGACAGGCAGGGGGACTGGCTGGAGGGTGTTAGCACTGGCGTCGTCCACAAGAGGGCGTGGCACTGAATCTGGCACTACCATTACAGTGTTAAACAGGGAGTCTGTTCATTAGGTGGAGAGAGAGGGAGAGCCAAAAAACAGAAAGAAAGAGTAGTGAGATGTTATACATTCTGGGCTGTTTCTGTGTAATTTCCATTTCTAGTATATCTTATATCAACCCCTCCTGCTCTGGACACTCATTCCTTAATCCGCCCATTCTACATAAACACTGAGAATGAGGCTTTTAGTCATGTCAACACTCAGATAACTGTTGCAGAGGGCACAATCAAACCAAGAACATCTGGCCCTTTTCTCTCTCACACACTAACACAGACTTTCATTCAAACACACATATTAAATGTAAACAGACGCGCACACACACTCACATGTAAGGGCCAAACCAGGGTTCTGTACTCCCTCTGTCTCATTGCGTTTTAGTTTCAAACGCTCAGCGAATACCCATGTGGTGGGATCGGATTACACGGGGCTATAAAATATCCCAAATAAAGGCAAGGAAAACCGAGACGAAAAAACGGGCTGTTTCCTGAGGTAAAATCCTTCAGTTGGCTGCTGATTCTGTCAGAGTGGGAGATTTTTTAAAAGACTTTTAGCAGTGGAGACAATAGAACTGGACAGCAATGTTCGGCTTAGAACACAGAGGTGGCAAGCTAAAGTCATTCACATAAGGCAGCCAGCTCCCATTACACACATCGCAAGGCCATAAATCCATCTGCACGACACAAGCAGCATGCTGTGATTTCATATGTATTGGTTACTAAGGGGACGCATGAAACCACAACAAAAGACAAAGAGCAAAGTGGGAACTCATTTAGAGAAAGGGAATCATTTAACTTGTACACAAAACATCTGGGGTTTAAGATAAAGGTTTATGTTATCAACAACCATCATTTTAAAACATAATTATTAATCTGACCCATGGCCTTTAGAGAGGAAAATGGAGAGAAAAGCAGGCAAGTTGAAATCTAAACCATCTCTGTAATATCAGTGGATTAATCACAGGACATAAAGTAAAATGGTAACATGATCTCGTTATGGCGAGATACCAACGGGTAAGGGCGACGGGTGGTGTAACAGCCATTTTGACTACCAATCAGGCAAGTGACATCAATGGGCCCTTTGATTGGTCTAAAGTAAGGAGGGATTTTCTGCTGTATTCTAACAACAACATCTGGTTGGCTGGGGAAACGGTGGTGAGTGAGGAGAAGGAAAAGGCTTGAAAGGGGAGAGGAGAGTTTTTAAAGTCATACATGGGAGAGAGACGCCAGAACAGGGTGTCATTATGACATGCGTAATCGGAGCGCTCTGGTTCTGCCCCTGTGTTTTCTAGTGAAGCCCCAGAGCTCTATCACAGCTGAGGGCTGGCTCTCATATTTACAGCGCCTTGTAGTCTGCCTGACAATCACCTCTGTCTCTACAGCGACCTCAGAAAGATGTCTGCACTGCCTCCTTGTTCTGCAAGGAGCAACAGTTTGACTTTGGA